GGGGGTTAACATCAATTATACAGAATGGTTTATATATTTGTAATAAAGACGATCTGCTACAAAAGCTGGAAATTACACCCTTTTAAATATTCTATGTCTGTCTGAGGTGTCTTTGAAATGAAACATCCACCCCCCCCCCCCCCCCATCCTGTTATCTGCGGTTTCTTATTTCTTGGAATGATGATGATAATAATAATCCTTGCATTTGATATAGCGCTTTTCACGTCTTCTAGACGTCGCAAAGCGCTTCGCAGAATATGCCGTAAAGTGGATTGGACTGTATATATATGATGATGAACAACGACAAAAAATGCGCCAGGTCATTGGGGGAAAAAAAAAAGGGGGGGTCTGTCTATTCGCACTGTGATTTTCTTCTGCTGCCTTCGAACTGCACAAGCCTTAACACAAATGCACATATGCCATAGTGCTCCATAATACAAAAAAAAACAAATCTGACAGCCTTGATTGATGATACGCCTGAAAAAGTCTGGATTTCGGTAACAATTTCCGCCCAACACCCAAGTGAAATAGCAGCAACCGTGCACTCAGTTCTAAGTTTGTTTTCTGTACGTGTCTTGTGGTACGATCTCCACCTTTTGAAGTTGGCGGCAGGATTTTAGGGACGCAGGTTGAAAGCACACGTTTTTTTTTGAAGACGCGATTGAAAGCGTGTTACGGATGATCGCAATAATAATCTTGGCGTTTGACGCAGTGCTTTATCACGTCTTCGGGATGTCTCAAAGCGCTTCACAGGATATACTGTAGTGAGATAGCAATAATATAGTGTAAATGACATGTCGGGGACATCCTTATCCTGGTGGGTTTCAGTTGCCTTGTGCAGCGCTAATCCTGGACTGTACCTACATGCATTAGACATGCAGTCTGCCAAGTGCTTTTGTGTATTTAAAAGAAACATTGCTTCTTCAGACTCCAACCCTTCCCATCAGAAATAACGTGTTTTTAAAAACCGCGTTTAAGCAACATGCTTGTTGACTTTGTGTAATTGCAGTTGAACTTGTAAGTACGGATAAGAGGAACTGGAATTAACATATGGAGTGGGAAAGATCTCCTGCGCATGTGTGGTTTTTAAGGATTGTGTAACTATCGCTGTTGAAGTCAGATCTTCATGCTGTCAGCTCCAATTCTTGCAAGTCAGGGGCCCCCCTGACATCAGCATTGGCCGTGTTTGCAAGAACAAAAACTGAACTGAAGCAGAATAAAAAGATTAAAGAAATGACAAATCCTGATGTTTAAATAGGAGTTTTGATGACAGCTCCTTTGCTATGATCAACCATTTATTGGCGATAATAATCCTTTAAAATCTTTGATACAATTCAAAACTGCTCAGAGGATTTTTTCTGTAAAGTAGCCACTATATTTTATAGGTGAATGTGGGAGCCAATTTGCACCAGCTGTGTACCACAAACAGCCACAAAGTTATTTGCAGGATTATTGGCCAGGACATCAGTAGAAACTCTCTTTTTAAGCAGTGGCACATGATCTTTAAAGGACAGACAGATCTTGGCGTAAAGTCTCATCTGAAGAACATCTCCAAACAACGAAGTGTTCCTCCAGCACAGTATTAGTGTCAACCCAGACCACAAGTTCAAAGATTCAACATGTGAGACTACTATCAACAGTGCCAGGGCGACATTCTGTGATTGAACAATCATGAAAGTCTGGCAAGAGTCTAAACATGGTTTTTATTTTTGATCTATAATAAATGACCTGGACTTGGGTATAGGGAGTACCCTATATTTCCAAGTTTGCAGCTGATAGTAAGCTCGGAAAAGTAGTAAATAGGGTGGAGGATAGTAACAGACTGCAAAGGGACATAGACAGACTGGTAAAAATGGGCAAACACGTGGCAGATGAAGTTTAATGTGGAGGAATGCAAAGTGATGCATTTGCGAGGAAGAATGAGGAACTGGAATATAAGCTGATGGTACAATCGTAAAGGGGGTGAAGGAACAGAGAGACCTGGGGGTTCACGTAAGTTAATGCTTGAAGGTGGCAGGACAGGGAGATAAAGTTGTTAAAAATGCATATGGGATACTAGGCTTTATAAACAGGGGCATAGAATACAAAAGTCAGAAAGTTATGATGAAGCTTTATAAAGCACTGGTTCGGCCTCAGCGAGAGACTGTGTTCAGGTCTGGACATCACACTTTAGGAAGGATGTCAAGGCATTGGAGAGGGTGCAAAGGAGATTTACCAGGATGGTACCAGGAATGAGGGACTTCAGTTATAAGGAGAGGCCAGAGAAGTGACGATTATTCTCCTTGGAGCACAGAAGGTTAAGAGGAGACTTAATAGAAGTTTTTCGATAGAGTGAAAAAGGAGAAACTATTTCCACTGGCGGGTGGGTCAGTAACCCGAGGACACCGATTTAAAAACGGGGTGAAGTTCTGACGAAGGGTCTTGGACCCGAAACGTTGACTTGCTTTCCTTTCTCCATAGTTGCTGCCTGACCTGCAGAGTGTTCCCAGCGACATCTGTTTTTTGTTTCAGATTTCCAGCATCTGCAATATTTTGTGTCTTGTGTATATTTATTCAAACTGGCTTATGACAACATCAAAACGTCAGTTTGTTTTGTGTATATGAGTGAAAAATAAACACATACACATAAAAACATACACTGTTTTGCACAATAGTTTGTTGCAATACAATAATCAGATGACTCAGGTGCTGATTTTCCTTAAATATTATATTGTACATAACGCTTATAATATCAAAACATTTCAAAGCACGAAACAGGGAATTGCTCTCAAGTTCAGTGAGTAGAGGCAAATACAACAATAAACTACACATTGCGCCTTTCACATTGGGAGGACCTCACAAGGGGCTGGACAGTCAAGGGTTTGGCCACAGGTATCAAAGAGTAAGACCGTGGAGGACTTTAAAAGTGAGGACAATGATCTTAAACTCGATCCTCTGGGGGATTGGGAGACAGTGAACTGACGTCAGGATGGTCGATCGTTTATGGAGCTTGGTGTGGGACAGGGCACAAGCTGCAGAGGTCTGAATAATCTGCAGTTTATGGAGGGGAAGTCTGGTGAGCAGGAAGTCAGTGTAGTGAAGCCGAGACGTGATGAAAGAACGGATGAGGGTCTTGGTGGCTTCAGGAGAGAGGTAGTGGCGGAGGCGGCCAATGTTGCGGAGTTGGGGGAAGGCAGAAAGTGTCATGGCATCGATGTGAGGTATAAAGGGCGGTTGCGGGTAGCGCCTCATCAGGTCTTCGAGACGCCTCAAAGCGCTTCACAGAACAACCTGGAAAGTGGATTGACGGTGTATATTTTGTGGGCGAAACGCGGCAGCCAATTCCGCGGAGCGGCGTCTCACACACGGGCACGGAGCGAGCGACCACATTCTTCTCCTTATTATTAATTATTATTATTATTATTATTATTAGATTTGAAGGGATTAAAATGCTCGGAGTCGCAAAGCACAGATACAGAGACTTCCCTGTTCACACACACACACACACAAACACAGCCCCAGTTTACACCAAACGCTGCTCTCTTTCTCTCTGTGTCTCTCTGTGTTAATGAGTCCCCACAGTGTACAGTGGGTGAGGTCGGAGACGCGGCTGTGCTGGTGGAGAGGGGGAGGAGGAGGTGGAGGAGGAGGGAGGAGGGAGGGAGGAGGTGCTGGTGGGGAGGAAGAGATCAGCACAGCGCAGAGTGGAAACTGTGGACAGACCAAGGCTTCAGCACTGGTGAAACACTGAAGTGAGTGAGTGAGTGAGTGAGTGACCCACAGCCCGTGGGTTCCCAGTGTGTGTTGTCTCCTCTGCCACCACTTGTTTATTGTGGGGAGAGAGTGAGAGTGAGAGAGAGAGAGAGAGAAGCTGGGGAGAGATCAGCAACAAGCTCAGCACAGGCTTCGGCCTGTTTCACCATCCCCCCCCCCCCCCCATCAGCTGTCTCTGTCCCCCCCCCCCCCCCCATCCCACCCTCTGGGAATCCATCCTTCTCCTCTCTCCCTTCTTTCTTTCTCTCCCTCCCTCCACCCTTCCCTCTTTTGCCTCCTTCAAGGCACGTCGCAAGACCCTCCTCTTCGACCGTGCCTTTGGTCACCCTCCTTAACCCCCACCGCCACCACCACAAGTACACTCCTTCCGCCTTCCACCCCTCTCCCGATCCCCAATCCTCCTCTCTCTCTCTCTCTCTCTCTCTGTCTCTCTCTCTCTCACTCTCCTCCCGAGGCGAAGGCCACGATGCAAACGTGTGTCGTCGTCAGCGCTCAGACGTCACAGGTTATATTGCGCGGTGATCGATCGAGAGAGAGAGAGAGAGAGACACACACGCGAAAAAAACAACCTTAGAGGTAAAAGCGATAAGGAAGCACAGCCTGCCGTCGGCTCTTGCGGCTGTAAATTTAATCAGACATGGGGCCCGTCCGTAGCAACTAACAGCTGTCAATCACTGGCCCTGGGCTGGCTGGCTCGCTCGCTCTCTTCTCTCCCTCCCTGAGGGCAGCACCTCCTTGCCTGCGTCTTGCAGCGAAGCCTACCTCGTCCACAGTAATAATTCTGGCGTTTGATGCAGCGACTCTTCACCGCTGCCGGACGTCTCGAGGAATATACCGTCAAGTGAATTGACCGTACATTTCGCGGGCGAAACGTGGCAGCCAAACGCGGACAACATCGTTGTCTCGTGCTTCCAGAGTGGCCATCCTGCCCTCCTCGCATTCACAGCGTCAGGCAATTTAAAAAAAAAAATCCAACCACTTTGTGGTAGCGTCAGGCTCGACTGCTCTCCCAAGTCCCAAATGCAGGTCTTGAACCCACTTCTGACCCCGAGGCAAAAATGCTACCCACTAAACCAAGCTGACACTTAAATCTAAATCTGTCTAGCAGCATGGGAATATACAGTACATTAAATGGCTGTTTGCAATCTACAGTACTGTATTTTGCAAGTAAAATACATATATACTGAATATACAGTATTCTGTTACATATTCCTCAAATCAATTTCTTGGAATCTACAGCTATCAAATTCCCTCTAATTTGCTGAAACAACGGGAGTCGAACTTGATCACAGAACTATGTCACAAAAGATGTTTAAATATTCAACTTTTGGGGGTAGCATAGCAACTGTTAATGTGGATAGTTAGCCCACAGCCTGTTCAGTTAATTGAAAAGAAACCTTGATAAATGTTCTCAAATTAGATTGTCATACACAACACTGATCCATAATTTGCAGAGCACATTTTTCTGGTCACTTTGAACTCGTTGTTGCTCTGGTTTCTAAAAAAACATGCAACTCATGTGCCCAGTCCCAAAGATTACAACAGGCAAATATTTAATCAACAATGATGCACATAACAACTTATTCAGAATCTCTAAAGTCCTCCCCTGTTTGTTTTTATAGAAACACTATTGATTGCTGAGCTTGGAGAATTCTAATCCATTAACCAACCTCAGAATATTGTCAAGGCTACAGAGGAGATTCATTGTCGGAGGCAACTGCACTGGAAATATTTCTACTTATCTACAAAAAGGGGGAAAAATGTGGAGATCAGTCATCAAAACAGTCAGTTTGTTCTATGGCAGGGGAAACCAGAATGCTTTACGAAGCTTACAGACTGCACAGAAAGCGCTCAGTCATCCCTTTCAAGGATACAGACAACATACATCTACAGCTTTTAAAGTGAATACAATGATTCAACCTATCATTCAAGTGGAGGCCCTTGATAAAGATCGATGCATTACAGTCCGTTGGGAAGATGGAAGCGAAAGTCTATATCCTTATGTGTGGTTAAGGGATAATTGCCAATGTTCCCAGTGCTTTTTGCATTCTGCCAAAGCACGAAAGTTTCCCATCGCGGATTTGGATGTGAATGTGGTTGCAGAGAAAGTTACTCTAACGAATTCAGCAAAGGTAATTCCACTACCAAAAATTCCTAGAGCTGTGGGTCTTTACCATAATGCTTTTAAGTTAAACTAACAACAGTAGTGTTTACTCAGATTAATTGAGCCACTTCCCCATTGGTATCTTTCAATGAAGAATTGTTTATGAAGCTGGCCTCTGTTTTTGTTTTCTGCATTTTAGTTTAGTTATGTTAAGATGATTAAATATTAAAATTGTTTGAAAATTTTCACTGGAGTTAACGTAAAATAAGTTTGATATCTGTTAGTTCTATCCCATTCAGAACAAAAAGGTGCCTTCAATTTAGGAGTGGATTGTTCCTCGACTCCGCTCCGTCATTTGCTCTAATAGAGCTCAGTAGTTTTTGTGTGAACACAGTGAAAATCCACACCCTACCTTTTGAGCTAGCGTTGCATCAATTAGAATAGAACCATAGAATTAGACAGCACAGAAGGAGGCCATTCGGCCCATCTGTCCATGCCGGCTCTTTGAAAGAGCTGTCCAAATTAATCCCACTCCCCTGCTCTCTCCCCATAGCCCTGTAAATTTGTCCTCCCCAAGTATCTAATAGAATCATAGAATTTCTCAAATATGCTGAGCTGCTTTATTGTTTTTATTTTTTTAATAATTGAAACATTTGTTATCACTAATATTAATTTAAGTTCTTATTGCAGTTACATGTAAAACAGACAGGTTGACTCACTGCGACTTTTTAAATCAGCAAATATGGTCTTTATCTCCAGATTTCAGTCACCTGGCCTGACAAACACATCAGTGAATTTAATGCAGATTGGCTGAAGCATAGATGTTTTGGCAAATCAACAAGAGAAAAATTGCAGGAAGACTTTTTTTTAACAGGTAAGAATGTAATTGCATCATCATTAATCATTTCACATACAGAAAGTGATTTGGTGCTCTGCCCTGAATCAGCTTATTGATCTCTCTCACATTTGATTATTATATATAACAAGAAACATTTTATAGATATATACATATGTGTAACAATCACATGTAAGGATTGAGATAGAGAGAGACATTTGACATAAATTTGCATGTACATAATAAGGTGTCAGCCTGATTCAGTTGGTAGCATTTTTCCAACGTCCTACATTGGGACTTTGAACTCACTGTCTAATGAATCCAGTAGCAGAACATTGCTTTTAATGACATTAATAATTTTTCAGATTGCATCAGCCGAAGTTGCTACTTTTTCTACATCTTGCTTATTAGTTAGGTATGTTATTTTGCACAAAATTTGGCTGGCAGACAAGGGTACATTATGTGGGTTAAGATCCTAATTTCCAATGAGCTGGAATTTTTATTGGATACTTGCTAATAATTTAGCAGCTTCAAACAATTGTTCCAAATGTATTTTCATTTGAAGGCTTAAGTTGTCATCACCGATCACTGATTGTTAACACTTGGACAGTAAAATGTATAATCGCCTGGCCTTTATTAGCCAAGTAACCATAAAGCCTACATTCAAAACAATCCTGCCAGCATTAATAAATTGTAATAGCTTCAAGTATCGCTTTTCTAGATCTGCCAATTGTTGAATTTAAACCAACAGTAAAATCTAACAGTACGATACTCACAGAAGATCATTAAACTGGTTTCTGACAGTGTTGCTAGTATGTCAAGAAATATTAAATTAGAAGATAATTCTACTATTATGTAACATATAAAGTGATAAATGATTTGATGCTCAAACCAAAATATTTATTGAAAATCTTAATCAACCACGATGTTGTGTTTATATAATGTAAACATGTTTGATTCTCACATTCTACTTTACTGTAATTACTACCCCTGTGAGTGTAAAACATATTTTGCGTGGCCATATTCCATGGAGAGGATCATGTAAATCAATTGGTTCTATTTATAGACCGTAAAGAAAATGTAAATCACAGACAGTGGAATTTCAGAGGATTACTCCCACTCTGAAGGATAAAGTTCAAGGTTAAACCTGGCACAAGATTTTCAGTTATTCCAGATACAATTCTTATTAGATTTACTGACGACAATAAGGAATGAATACAGTACATTACCAGTTAATGTTATAAAAAAGGAAACTAGATGTTTTTACAGGACTTCTGGTGATAGAACATTGTATTCAATTCAGCATGCCCAAGATGTGACCTTCATTCTGATGTTCAACTTAAACAAGCGTATTTCACCTGTTCACTCTCAGCCCAATAGACCATATACATCGAGATGGCGGTTCACTTCATGTAAATGAATTTCTTTGTAACCCATCAAAAACAATAATGGTAGCTGCTCTGGTGAAATTCGTAGTTCACACATCTCTTTTCCTCCTTCCTGAGTCATTGCTATTATTACTGTGCCTGTGCATGCAAAGGTCCTTCTTTCTTTGAAAGCCATTGAGTTCATGTCAGCTTTGCTAAACCCGCTGCACATTATTTCTATAACCCATATTGGAAATCCATTATGCTTAACTTATATTAACTACTATTGGATGTGCTCCAGCACTATTTTGTAGAATTGTTATAAGATAAAAATTGTCATTATTTTTTTGGGCGAATCGTTCCCCTCTATGATTATTATGTAGCCCAATAGGTTTCTTTGCTAATGGTTTGGTCCGTATATCAGCATCCAGTATAACTGATCTGTCCAATAAGCTGGGCTGTAAAATAATTTTATTTCTGAGTATAACATTTCAGTGTTTTGATGTTGGGGCTCATTAAAGTTACTGAGGTCAAGGCTGGGGAATGGAACAATTGTTCCTGTTTTGAGACCCAGCATCATACAGTATACAGTGCTTTCAGCTCAGCTATGTCGATGGCTGGATGGTGAATTCAGCAAGCCTTACTTTCCTCAACATTTTACTCTAACCCCATATTCAGAATTGCTTCCCCTACTGCTTTGATGCAACACATTTTATTTCTCAAACGTACATCTCAGCTTGAGACAGGCAATTTATCACTAATTAGTACTGCTTTCAAGCACTTTTGTACCACGGACTTATGCCAATTAGGACGCGGCTGTGTTGAACTGCCCATAATTTACTTCACTTAAGACTTCTGTAGCCATTGGAGAGTGGAGACATTCATCCCTTACTCTGCCGGATTTGAACCCAAGTCCCAAAAGTAAAAAGAAACTATTTTTTTGCCAAATAGTCTCCCAGATATTTATTATTTTTATTTCTGACATCAATACATCATTTCCAACTGAATCACTAACGTGTTCTCTGTATAAACAATTGTGCGAAGACTCTTCCGCAGCAAAGCGTTTCTATACGATACCTGTACCCTCATGGGAGGTTGTTTCACTTAGCTTTCTTTCGCGTCTTCATCAGAAACCTAGTGAATATTTGTCAAAAGTGATATTCTCTTTGGAGATGATGCTCAACAGTACAGAGTTGTTGACTCCCTGTTTAAGGGACAAACTACAAGCAAACGATTATTATTACTATTAATATCCTTTTTCAAAGAAATTAGTTTCAAATAGTAAATAAAACAAAATAACACATTTAAATAAAAGTTTTAAAAAATGAGGCATTAACCTCTTGTTGGAAACTATCAGAACTGGGTACTGTGCAATAAGCAAACTCGCTGCTGTTAATGACTGCACCCTTTTAAAAGTATATAAGAAGATTTTAAAGTATATGTTGGAGGTGAGGAAGAAGGTAGCGGCTGGTTTGCTTACTCTTGTAATATAGAAAACACACTGAGTTTAATCGGATACCAACCTGTTTGGGAAAAAGATGTATAATATTAGGTTGGAACATTGGTTGTACACTCAAGCTATTACCGTCCTGTCAGTCTGCTGATGAAATCAAAAGCCTTTATGTTTTCGGAGTTATACCAAATTTGTTGATTTAAAGTCTCTCTCTGCTACTTAATTAAACAAACCATGTTATGGTTAAATGCACAAACACGGTGATATTTTAAAAGGTCAGATAGGTATTCATCCGTGAATATACATAGTCCCATTCATTTTTTACTTGATTGACAACTTAGGAAATTTCCCCAAGGCTTAGGAAGTTAGACAATATTATTACAGTTTGGTCTATCTACCAATTAACATCCAAACAATTTGTTTGATATTACTTTTAACAAACATTAAGTCATATTTTTTTAAATTATTATTGATACTTACATAGAATATGCAGCACAGAAATAGGCCATTCGGCCCAACTGGTCAATGCCAGCATTTATGCTCCAGATGAGCTTCTTCCTGCCCTTCCTCAACTAAGCCTATCAGCATAACCTTCTTGTGAGTTACGTACATATGCTTTTTTTAATATGCAGTAAACTTTTGGACTTTGTTTACCAAAGATTAGTGTTGGAAACTTAACACAGTAGCCATTTCAGAAATCAATAGCAAGTTTTTAACCTAGCAAATTAGATTTATACACAGAACCTTCTGGTCCCAGGGCCAGTGCTCATTGTATTACACCAAATATTGATCCAGTTGGAAACAAAAAATCAGGATATATGATAGTATAATGCCTCTAGCTATATGATCAATGACAATATGTATATAAAATGATAGGGTGATATTCTGATGGTTGGGAAAATTACTAACCTTGGTGGTGTAATGGGTGTAATTCAATGGGATTTCCTCATTTCTATAAAAGCGCACATGCCAAGGTTTGCAACTTTTCAGAACTGAATTTTCTGCCACCATCATTTTAATCACCATCCTTCTGGATCAAATTTGCAGTCAATTAATGAATTGATTTTTAAATTGTACCCTAATTCATGATAAAAGTGTCAGTATTTTAATAAATAGGTTTCGTTAAATCTATATAAAGCATTACATCTGGTTGCTACAAAAGCAATTTCTGTGCCCCGTGGTTGATTATAAAACTACATTTCACATGCCAAAACACTTCATATTTAATAAAGTCTTAGTTGAAAATTCGTTTCAGGCTTATGACTTCAACTTACTTGTATGGAAAGTTTTGTTCAACTTCCTTTGTCAGAACATGCAAGATTGATTTAGTGCTGTGAACACTATTGAGGAAACTGCCAGGGTCTTGCCTGCCTTGAGCAACTGGGACGTTGTGTGTGTATGCCAGATTGAAAATAAGTGTTTCTGAAAGTTTCCAGGTCTACCTGACTTCACACAAACATATGGGCCAGTCATTGCACTGGATCACAGCATTTTAATCCAGTGGAAAATAGCTAGCGGAAAGGAATGTTGGGTTAGAGTTAGCTTCAGTGGACAAGTGGACAAAATATGTTTCCATTTTCCAATTCCACCTTAAAACCTAACTCTTCGACTATACCAATGGTCATCTGCCTTCCTCCTATTTTGGCGTCCAATTATGCCACTGTGAAGCGCTTCGAGATGTCATCCTACATGAAGGGTGCAGTTTAAATGCTAGTTGTCGTTATATAATTAAAATATTAATGAATGCAGAAACCAAGCCTCAACACTGGAATGAAGGAGACCAATCTTGAAACGCTGTCTCGTTTGGAGATGTAGAAAGAACGATACATTTTTAATGAAGTGCTTTATTTGCTCTAAGCATTTGTTTAAAAAGGAATGTAATGGCCAATAAATAGCCCTGCCATAAAACATTAGTTAGTCTGCAGCTGGAGTATGTTATATAATTTAGGGCACTCCAGTATAAAATAAATATTGGAGCCAAGGAGAAATTCCAAGTAGATTCACTGGGGTAAGAGGATGCAATTATGATGATCTTCTGTGATGAAATATCAATGATTTGATGATCAGTAGTTAAATTGTCAGTTCTCAATGACTAGCGAATGTCAACCAATAGCAAGGGTATACCCCCTCCCGAAAGCAGAATTATATTTATATATATCTCTAACCAACACCCAAGTACTATTTCATTTACAATTTTAAAGCCATAGTGGGATTGCCTG